GGTGAGCCGCAGCATCTCCGCTTCGCTCGGCCCCAGCTCCTGGTTCCGGCTGCTGGGAGCAGCCCTAGGGCGGTGAGCTGTGGGCCCCGCAGCACACGGGCTGGGACCTGGGGTGCAGGCTGTGGGGCAGGGAGAAGAGGCCAGGAGGGTGGCTGCCTGCTCCTTGACCCTTCTGGGCTGTTGGCTGCAGGTCTGATCCCCGGAGCATGGCTTGCTGTGAAGCCTCCTCGGCCGGCTGCTTGCCCTGCCCTGCCCCAGCCCAGCGCTGTGCTCGTGAAGGAGCGGGGGGGGCTGCAGCTCAGTGCTACAGTACCGGCCCCCCGGGCTCCGCAGGGATCTGGCCGTGGCCGTGACACTCTGTCCCGATGAAACCGGCAGGGCACTCTGCCGTAACACAGCCAGACAGCAGCAGCTGTGGGGAGACGCTGCTCTCCTTGGTCATAGCCTCGTCTCCTAAACCAGGGGCGTCCGGCTCCTTGCCTTGGACAAACCCCTGGCCGGCGAGCTCAATGGGGCAGGGCCTGGCTGTTCTGCGAGGACCTCGTCCTTCAGGCAAACGCCCAGCGGTGGCGGACGTGGCGTCCTGCCTCGGGTGCCGTTTGCTGCCCACGGTCCCGAGCAACGAACCACTCGGCCAGGGCCAGGCTCTTGGGGTGCGGCTTGGCAGTGTCTCGCCCTGTGCCCCCAGGTGCAGGGAGCTGCATTGCCCACTGCCAGGGGCATTCGCCAGCCAACAGCCCCCGGGGTAAGTGCTGAGCTGTGGGGCGACCCCCAGCCCAGCTGCTTGTGGGGTGCCAGGTCAGCGCAGGCCCGAGCGGCCAGCACACGGGAGCTGAAAGACGTTTCTGCCTTTAACTGCTGGAAGGGAGCCCCCCCAGCTGAACACAAGAGCCCCCCTCCCGGTACCAAGTCTGGCCACCAGCCCTTGGCACTGGAGCCCCCCTCGCCCAGCCCCCCCCCAGATCTTACCTGGTGTTGCCTGATCCAGGCCTTTGCTGCAGAGAAACAGGCGGCATCTCTCACGTGTCCCAAGCCCAGCTGAGAGGCCGTGTGCCCCTTATTGCATGGTGCTGGCCCCACAGCTCTGGGGAGAGGCCCCTAGGATCCGATGCTCTGTGTGAGGCAGCGAGATGGGACCCCAGAAGCCAGCAGCATCGCGATCCGGCAGGGCAGGGAGGCTGGTGCCTGGCTGCATCGTAGACAGCTGGGTCCTGCTCCTTTCCCCCTGCAGAGTGGGGTGGGGCTGCGGGGGGCGGGGCAGAAGCTCTGTGGGGCAGCAGGGGTGGCAGGGAGCGGCTGCAGGCCGAGACTCTCCGGTCTAACAAAGTTCCTTGTCATGTTAGACGAAAGCAGTTTTCGGCGATTCCTCCCATCGCAGGGCACCGGCTCGGCCGAGCCAGCTCCGAATGGCTCTGCCAGCTGCTGGCTCTAAACCTGCCTCCAGCCACGTGCCAGTATTCATCCAACGTGACCAGCCTGGCTTCTCAGCCCGCCTCTGTATCTACCCTGAAAGCCGCGTCCGTAAGGGGTGCGAATTCACACAGGTCACCAGCAGGTGACAGAGGGGTAGGAGACACTCCTCTCCCTGGCTGGTCCTTGTGCACTCACAATGTCAGTCTATCCACACAGGGAACCACCAGCTAATCAAGATTGCGAAGTTGGCAAGAGACCACAAAACCGAATTATTGACATAAACTGTGACTGTGACCGTATAGATCATTGTTGCAACCAAGGTCCTATAGTGGCACCAACTCTTGTACAAAGGTTGTCGGGTGAGGTGTCTATGGACAGGTTATGATTCGCTGGTTAGGATGATGCTGTCTGTAAGTGTGTATCATGTTTGTAGTTGAAGTTATGAATATTGGCTCTGTACTCGTATCTCAATGTGTTGGATTCTAAGTAGCCTCAGAGAAGCATTTGCTCAGGTTCTTGAGAAGGGACAATTCTCAGGAAGTGCCCAACAAGAAACACTGAACAGACAATGGACTTTGGGAGACGCCAACCCACATCTGAGCTTTCCTGGGAATGTTCAAACTAACATGGAAACAATGGCGTCGGCCTGCAAACTGAGTCATGCACGGACATGTGACTTGCCCATGTGACTTCAGACTCCATCTTGTGCTGGGATTTTCCACAGTAAGAATGAAGGGGTCCTTCCATAGGGCAGAGAATATAAAAGGCCTGGAACCCGCCCCCCCCCCCCCCC